AGAGAGAGAGAGAGAGAGAGAGAGAGAGAGAGAGAGAGAGAGAGAGAGAGAGAGAGAGAGAGAGAGAGAGAAAGAGAGAGAGAGAAAGAGAGAGATCCGCGAGTGTTGCTATGCGCCACGGCGTTGTCGGCGCGAATACCCTTACAAGGGTATCCGCCCTGGTTTTTGCAAGTGACAAAAAGGCTCGGTTAGCCTGGATTTTGAGTGCCCGTGCGGGAAAATGTGAAGGTCGTCCGCGCGCGGGCCAAGGTCTTCCTTGTCCCGATAGGGAGTATGTGGGCACGCAATTTTAAGGTGCGCGTGTGATTCTTTTGATTGAGTGGGCGGTCGGGGTAGCCGGCCGACCCATACCGGGTCACAAAGTTGATTAAGGAATGGAGTATCGCCCTTGGCAGGTATGCGCGACCGACGGTAGGGCGGGCGCGCCGATAGGCGCAAGGGACGCCTGTCGCCCTGGCTGGTAGGCCGACGCGGACACTTAGGGGCTGTGGGTATAAATGCGGGGAGGAAGGACGGCTGGAGCGGTATTTTGGCCTGGAGCGCCGCGCGGTACCACTTTACATGGGAGGCCGCGCCTACTAATGCCAGGCTTGGGCTTATCCCTATCAGTTACGGTATTGGACTATTGCGGCGGAGGTGCAGGGATCGAGGCCAGCAGCATGCAGTAGGGGAGCGGAGGAGCGTGGCGGAGAGGCTTGAGGGGTTGATGGGCCTATGGGACTATCCCCCTCGCCTTTTGCAGTTATGAGGGCCGCGATCTCCGCCCGATTGCTGCCCGTTTTGCGGGGTCTTATATATCAACCTGTGTATGATTTATTCATGTCGAACTTCCGTTACCATTTTCCTTTTTTGTGCGACCGTATGGGAGTGCGAAAACCACAGCGGGTACACCCGTAGGCTATTGAAATACAAACCGGCGCCTGATGGTGGAAAGGGTGGGTGAAGCCAGGCATTCCGACCTTTGCCTGGGGCCGGCTGCCTCCGCAGTCCAGGCTGGGTCCTTTGGGACATCCGCTAAGGTCGAAATGGTACCGAGGTGACCTGTCTGGCCCCTGTGCTAGGACGATGGGCGAAGGCCCGGGACAAACTTGGATGCAGGTTGCGCCAGAGGGGGGAGGGGGGATCGAACCAGGGCGCAATCTGGGGTAGGGGCATGAGGGGAGACAGAGAGGAAGGTCGGGAGGCCTTTGGGGCATTCCTACATTTGGGCGGTACCAGAAAGGTCTGTATGGCGGCCTGCGCAAGGTTGACACATGCAGACATTGGAGGGAAGCGGTTAGGGCAAGGGACAAGCGTTCGCGGAGGGCTAAAGGAGTGCGGCATAGATCGGATGCGATCGTCAGAACCCGGACGGGGGAAAGGCCGGGTTCGTGCAAAAGTGATGGAGTAGGGAGGGAGTACTACGGGGAGGATCTTTTGTTTTAGATTTAATTTTTGTTTGTTTTGTTGTTTTTCTCCCTTTTTTGGTTTTTGCGATCAGTACACTTGCTGACGCGGACTAGGGGGAACTGGGAACGATATAAAGAAGGATTTACCTCCCCCCCCCCAGGCAAGGTTTGCACGCATAAAGACCGAAGGAGGGGCCAGGTCCATGCAGAAAGAGTTGAGTGAGTGGGGGCATTACTGCGGCGGATCTTCCCATGGAGAGAATCCGAGTGAGATAGCGGAGATCTGCGAAGCCGACAAGGGGAGGTCCGGGAATGAATCCGGACGGGAGGCGGGCTAAGGGAAGAAGGTTGTGTGACCGCTAGCCGCGCCAAGGGGCGTCGCGCCACGCGAGTCCTTCGGGACAGCCGTTAAAATTGGAGCGATATAGAAAAGATTAGCATGGCCCCCACGCAAGGATGAGACCTGAAAATCGGGGAAAAGGGCAGGGGCACCCTCCTGAATTCGGCCTCAAGGGGAGGCCACATTCGTGTAAAGGCTGGCGCTGGGGGGAATGTATTCTGGGAAGCCTGCAGGGATTCGCCCCGGCCGGAGTCCTCCGGGGCACTCGTGGGAGCTGGAGCAGCACAGGGAGATCCGCGCGGTCGCTGCCTAGGGTCGGCGTGTACAAGTCGGAGGGGAGCTGCCTTTTTGAGCATTTTGACTCTGTTTCCTTTCGCCGAGTTGGGCCAGGACTGGACGCTGTGTGCTCGTAGGCGAAGTGCGCCGTTTTTGGAGACGTCACCACGACAAGGATGACGAGGGTGTCGGGGAGAAGGTGGGGGATGAGTCGGGCGAAGCAGGAACGTGGCAACTCGCCCGTTTGGTGGCGGAAAAGGCCAGGAGAGATGCTGGTCGCGGGTTTCGGACCATTCCGAGTTGAATGGCTGCGTCATATTTTCGATTTGGCCGACGATCCAGCCAGGATGAGCAATAGAAGCTGGGTGGGAGTGGATATGGAGGAAGTGACGAGTCACTATTTTTGCTTGGATCGTGAGGGGTCTGTGCCGAAGGAAGAAGTGATTGGAGTTATGGAGGCGGGCGAGCATAGTGCGGAAGACGGGACGACAAATGGTGGAGCGTAGTGGGAGATAGGATAAAGGGAAGGCGTGTGGGAGACTGTCGGGAAGGGATGTACCTGGCGCAGTTTCACGCCGAATACGTGTAGCGGAAGGAAACGAAAGAGGAGGTGGGGATGCATATTTGGGGCCAGGCGCTATACTGCTGAAACGGGAAGCGTGGTAAAAGAAAGATCACCTGCGCTTTCCGTCCTCGATTCTCGAGTGCACCTGCCCATCTCCCGACGAAGGGTCACACTCGTTTCGCATACCTGGCAAGTCCGCTGTTTGTCGAGGAAGCCGGGCGGCTGTTCATCTGGTGAGTCGTTCCTTCCCCACTCGTTGCGCACTGCGGATTGTTGGTGAGCCCGGCCGGACGACCAGGGATATTTGGGCACGGCAAGCTGTGGAAGGAGGGACGAGTCGAGACGGGGGAAGCTTGATCCGAGTACGTAAGCTGGTTGGAGTGGTGGGGTCGGTGGTGCCGAGTACAGAGGGGGGGCTACGGCTGTCTTGCCAGGCTGGCTGTGCTTTCAATTAGCACGGCGACACAACTCGCTGCGTGCCTGATGGTTTGTGTCCACTACTGCTCTGCTAAAGTTGTTGCCCAGCCTGACACGAACTGTTGCGCTGCGTTGAGCAAAGCTGTGTAAGGCCGTGTGACTGTCGTCGCACTATGACAGACGAAGGCAGGGTGCAAGGGAGAGTGGTTGGCCTGCGTGAGGGGA